GGACCCGACATTTTGATTGTTCTAGCCAATCCTTTCAAGGTTGATGGAGATGATGGAGATTTATAGAGGTTGATAAGTGGTTGATAAACATTTCATAGGCTATCATATTCTGTGGTGGAGTTATTCATAAATGCAAGAACTAGAACTTCGCAAGGACTACGCCAATAAAGAACTAAAGAACCAATCGCTATACGGCGGAATCCGAGAATAATTGAATATGTACTTTACTAAATAAGTTTAAGGTTACATGTACCATATCCCCATTGTTTTTTTTTACTTCCGAGTTCAATTTATTATACGGAGTACAAGTTAACAGATCAAGTCCCAGCTTCTGGGAAGTTGATGGTCGCCGACTCGCTGGTAACTTGTAAGGTAGGTAGGCCCTGGTAGGGTAGGTCAAGTCCAGCATACCATATTCTGCAAACGGCAATGCACAAGGGGGGGCCACTGACCATTGAGGCATTGATCCGAATCATTGTCCGATTGAAGTTATGAACCAAGTTTTGACATGGGGATTTGACCCAACAGCCCCAAGAACAGAGACAACCTATTCAACTTATCCATTGAGGCTCCACAAAACCCCCTCCCCCCCTTGGTGTCACTGTCACCTCATCGGGTCTTTTGAACGTTATCGAATTTGTGCGAACGGCGTTTCCCTTGACTTCCCTTGTACCCTCGAATATTACCCTAGTCATCAACTGTCAATCTGTCACTCAACATTGTTACCCCGGGGTGGTTTGTGAACTGACTCGTTCGAAGTACAAAGGCTTCTGATATCGACATTGCTATCGAACTTGGTGGAGCGTTACAGTGAGTTTTATTATACTCCGGAGCAGCGGATACCTACCTAATCTTGTCTAACACCGGGGAAAGACTTTTAGCGACCTTGAAGATGTTTCTATACATGATCTCAGGAGTCAGGACCTGGGACTAAGAGTAAACGCCCTAATCTCGCTGCATCCCTTGCACAAAATCTTCCGATCCTTGGGCATAACGCCACTGGCCAGCATTTGAACGTGGTTAATAACAAGGGTCAAGTGGATAATATGGAATTTACAGTCAACCATCGAACTATTCTTGGGGCAATGTTTGCGAATCTTGATCGTTGCAAGGAAATCAATTTGCTGGTTATTCAACGTTCCAGTTACACGCATTTTACGTTTTCTTACCGCTTGCCGTCGCAAACTTACAGCTAGCAATCATGGTGGACATCATCATGGAGGTGTGTGACTACAGCGGGAACTCGGAGAATTTCCCGGATTCAAGCCTGTGTTCCGTAATAGAGTACACACATAAAACACATTTTGAACACGCACGCACTCACCCTTCCAGCATCTATTCAGCATTCTTATTAGTATCTCAAAATCATCGAGGATGCAACCTTCCGTTGAGGAGAATTCGGACAACAACCCATGCTATCTAGTACCTACTAGTGACCAACCTAGATTTCCTACAATGCCGCGTTCAACTTCAAGCCTCAAGGAAGGTAAGCTAAGATCTACAATACTCTTAGGCCAGATTTCCCGTTCCTGGCAGATTGGTTCCTTAGCAAAGCATGTAATGACCAAACTAGGAGGCAGGCATACGATATTCATGGGTTCATATCATACATTTCAGATTTCGGCATACCTACCAACATACTCTAAGATTCGAGATTGATTTTCTTCAAATGAACTTAATAACCAAAGCTTCCCATTGATTTTCTAAGCACAACTCGGCAAATATACTGGGGCTTATAGGGAGGGATTGGGAGGGTCTATCCATTACGATACTTTGTATCATTTGATTATTAAATTTTTAGCTATTTTATATCATTATCGTTTTACACCACAAGTAAACGAAGATTTCTCACGACCCAATAACCGGAAAATGAGAAATAAATCATAATCTACATCCATGCCGAATATCAAAAAAATTTTTGTCGGCAAGCTCTACCGGCATTCCATAGTAGAGTAGTGGATACATAGCTCTAATTATCGGCGTTTGGATACTAATGTTTCGGTGTTTTTGATATCTGATTAAATCACCTTGGCAAAGGAAAAAAAGAAGCAAAACGTCCGAAGTTTGAACTGAACCGATCTTGATTTCATTCTTCAGGGAGAATCTACCTACTCGAGTACTGTGATTCAGCATATACAATAATGATATCAATTAGAAACTAAGCCATTGTGCTTGACCATTAACCATTATTAATCATTGACCAAAGAGTCGTCTTGCTCTCATGGCAGTTCAAAGTTCAAACACAACTAATCTTCATCTCACAATCTAGAACGCTAGGTTACAGTACAGTATACTCAGATTGTCAAAAAGCCTAAAATTTAACATTAAAGCGCGGGAGGGAACCCTGGATTCGGATAGCCCTCCGGATGATAGACAGCACCACTCAGCACTGCCACCATTTGTCGTCATCTTCACATCTTCAACATATTCAGAATCAGAACCCCTGACATTTCGATAATAATCCGAATTCATTCTAACCGAGTGAACAGACGAAATGAAGACAATGCAGATATCTTCTTTGCATTTTGAGCGTCTCTGGTTTCAGTGATTCGTTTTATCGCAGTGATAGGTACCTACTCAAGTCCTTGCACTGCATAGATTCACATTTGGAATCCAGAAAATCATGTCAATATGGACAAAACTAGCCAATATCTCAATCAAACATGGCAATTATATCACAACTCTTAGGTATCTAAAGAATGCCTACTTGTACCGTTTCGTATGAATCTCAATCCAATCTCTCCATCGCAACTCAACTCAACTCAACTCCTGATTAGAATCAATCTTCCCAGACTCGGACCTTTTGAAAACTAGATGGACACAGTAGTTCGGTTTCTGAAGTGTACCGAACTAATTTAGTAAGGTTTTCGAATGAATGGGCACAGCAGCGTGAACTTTATTCACAAGACATGGAATCCTTGCTACTCTTACTGTACGGGAGTAACGTCAAGAATTATCCCAACGTCACCTAGGACCTTAGGTTGCTTTTCCCCATAGTCTGAAATATATGGGCTTGAGCCTTGGTGACCACTGACAAGTCAGTCTTGTTCTACCACGAAATTTCCCTGTCTATAAATATCTATTTTTGAGGCTCAAGAGTGAGTCAATATAAAACACGCATCCACAAAATCTAAAGACCCAAATCTTGTAAATCTACAACAACTTGGTAAAGTTAAAAATTACCGGTAAGGTTATGGTTCTTGGATCGGGATTGGCAGGTTGTTAGACCTCACATAATCGACATACCGACATATTGGAACTTGGAAGGCTTGTCCTGACTCCTAACAAACTTTCTCGGGTAGAGTAGACATACAACCATGCAACCCCTGATGCCCTTCCCTTCCAAACCTTCTCGATTGAAATTTGACCGATAAGTCAGGTAAACAAACTGCCTTTATTTCTCCCAAGTGGATGTTTTTGAATCTCGGTAGAATCTTGGGAGCAATCCACGTCGGCCCGGCAGATTGGAACCTTCTAACAAGGACAAGTAGCACGCCTGAAACAACGCTTTCTACTCGTATATCGTCATTCCCAAATTTCCTCATTATTTTTATTATAGTAGATTAACGGTTATATAATGTTACAGTTTCGGCCCGCGGTAGCAAGACTATATCGAGACAAGTTGTAATTGTTAAGTAGAAAAGTTCGAGATTTATGGCTGGGAAACCCCCGTTCGTCGTTATAGAGCACAACCCAGTTAACAATTAGGTTATATGGACTTCTGTAGTCGTTAGACGAGTTTTCGACATTTAGTATCCAGCACAATAAATACAGTATATTGAATCCTTTCGAGCCTATAGACCCATGAGAGGTAGCCAGATTCTCCAAGAATTGGGAACTAATAGCAAACTGAATGAATTCGGTGCATCGTCGAAAGTATCAACATCATATCAAACGAATAAGGGTACTCGTGCATTTGAAGCACCGTTGATGTAATGAAGGTTTCTGATTAGAACTGAGGATACAGGAAACCTTACCATGCATGGTCTTGCACCTCGATTGTCAAACTCTTATAGCACAATTATAGTCTATATAGTGTAGTAGTTAAGCGATTATCGTGATGTTTATGATAACTTGCCATTAAGACAGACCAGGCTTATAGCATAACAAGAGAGTGAAAGAATGGCACTATTCACTATCCACTATCCACTCAACCGGCAATTTCGTCGTCTATCCCCTCATTTCAATAATCCCTTCTCCCCACATAATTCGCAGGTACCTCGGATCCCATGCCTGCCTCTCAACATTTAAAGTCTTGGCATCACTTCCCCAAATCCCTACTTACTTCCTCTGAGAGTCTGATTACGTCGTCTCCATTTCGGAATGATCCATCCCTTTCCTAAGCTCCCTTTTCCCAATA